TAGAGCCCCCTGAAAAAGTATACAACCCAAATCAACCGTTTGTCCAAGACCAGTTAAGCAATTTGGCGGCCTGCTTCGGGAATCAATTTATTAATCAGTATATTAGAGATGGGCGCATTCGGCTTTTTTCATTTCGTTCATTCATCGTTCCTGAACGACCCATTTTGTTCGTTTTTTTAATTGTTCAAAAAAATTGATTTCGTTTTTTCTCGTTATGGTTTACTTTCCATCTATTATCAGTATAAACGATAGTTTTTTCATCGTTCACGAAACAATTTCGATCGTTTACAGATGATGCTCATCTCTAAATATAAAACGGGGATATTTACGGCTTAAAGCGTAATTTCAAGTGATAGATTGCAATGCTGATTAACAACGGTAAACTTTGTCTGATCTAGTATGACTTAGATATCAATGTTTATAATTTTAAAATTTCAGATTATTTTCAATTCAGGGTTCCATATTATTGATCAGTTAAAGGTTTCAAGGGTACCTTTGTGAATCGAGCATTGCCACCTTTGCATTGAGAGTCACTTGATATTACGTTTACAGTCCCTTTAATAAAAGCACCGTTTACCAACATCGTTGTATCGTGTGCTTGAGTAGCGTGAGGTGTTACCGGTTCAATTCCCAGATTTTTGCCGTGTTTTCATTGTTTTGGTTTATCAACAATAGAGGGCGGGGTGTGTACCGTAATCAAACCTAGACAGTGGTCAGTGATTCTATGATAAATTAACAATCAGGGGGTACATGGTATATATTCCAACTTTAATTTTGGTTTTCTTGCCTATCAATTTTGCTACAGGTTTATTCCAAAAGGATGAGAGTTCAGAGACGACTGTACGGAATAAATACTATCTCTTTATGTTCATGATTGTATACAACTGTAAACTTGCTTCTTTCTTTGCTAAACTATTTAAGAAGCTACTAAACGACTATATTCAAGGCAGAGGAACTTGTTTCACCGTTGGAATCGTCATATTTGCAGTCTCGTAAATTGTGGGTAGCTCTGTATAATATATTTGTGGGTAGCTCTGTATAATATATTTTTATGGAACATCTTCGAAACAATATCCCCAAACTAGCAGGTTTTGCAAATTTTTAAAGCTGTATTCTGCGCAAAATTATTATGCAAAAATCTTGGGTTTAATTCTGGCAACTTCCTGCAATGCTTACGCAAGTCGCTTTTATAGGGAAACCATAGTTGAAACAATGGTTTAAAGGGTTCCGCTGTAAATCTGACATGTAACATTATAATTGAAGGATCGCATGAAATTCCGTCTACAGTCCCTTTAAGGTATAAACTGATGAATATGATCCACTGAACTAGTAACCTTTAAACCTATAGGACTCAAGATTATAAACACCTAGAATACCTAGGCCACTAGGCCGCAGGCAACACAAGGGATAGAGATGCAATTTTTAAATTGATTTCAAGCTCATGACATTCGTAGATTTAGGCCTGAATTAGTGACTTCAGGGCTTTAATTAAAGGGTCCTTTCACGAATTTACTCCCCATCCAGGGCTATCAAAAAATGAGTTTGTTTAAATTACGATATTTTAGATAATATTTTATACAGTGGAACTCATCAAAATTTAGAATAGGCGGACGACTGTTAGATTTTTGATAACCCTCCCAAATAGCAATATACAATATACAATATACAATAGCAATAATACAATAACAATATACAATATACATAGCAATTGTACAGTGTACACAGAACCAATTCACTAAATCGATTGATGTTCTTAAAATTAATGTTGGTTAAAAGTAAATGTCGTCTTGCTATTCCACAGTTGTAGGGGTCCCCCTTTGACATTTCATAACATATACAAGAGGAAATTAGATGGTCATTTAAAATCTTGTTTAAATTTGCCTATCTTCCCTTTAAAGGGACTGTAAGCGTAATTTCAATTATTCAATTATGGCAATGCCCGATTCACAACGGTACCCTTTATATTTGTCTGATCAAGTATGATGTCAATCTTTATAATTGTGAAAACAGACTATTTTCAATTGTGGTCTTTCTACAGAAGTGAAAACGTTGTGAAACTGGAAAAGTCAAGGTTTTAATGCAAGGAAAGTTAATTGCAGTTGCGTATACTCTGCGTACATATTGACACCAGTTCTCTCTGGGCGGAATTTGTAAACAAGAATAGATGCATCAGTGTTCGTTTAGTATCCGAGGAGGTTAAAAACATTAAATTTTGATAATTTTGATGATTCACATAATAGTTTCCTATGACCAGAATATTTCATTGATTTTTTATGTGAAAGATGGATCCCATGTCAGGCTGTGACATCCGTCTTGTGTTTACATTACCGCCCAGAGACAGTACACTGCAGTACAAAAGATGCGTACACCTCTGAAATAACCTTCCTTGCATTACAACCTTGGAAAATGTCATCTTTGTCTAAAGGGTCACTTGAAATTAAACAAACAGTCTCTTTAGGCCTTCAATCCGTTGCCTGATTAAAGCGCTGTAAGGGCCTGGAATTATTAACGCCTACCCAAGCAGGATTGTATTATTTCTGCGTCAGTTTGATAATGTTTATATGACGTATTGTCTTTACGCAATTATGCTTGGGGAGAATTGACGCTTTACGCATTAAATACATTCTTTGTTTGAAAAACAAAATTAGTTCCAGTTGTCCGAATCCCACTTCTTCTAACATTGTAACGTGTTTTTTGGTTAAATATTTTTCAGATTTTATCACAGATATCAACCATCAAGATGTTGGTCATATGTCCTTGGTATATAAAGAAGAAACTGTAGGTGCATTAAGTAGAAACATTTATAAATAAAGTAAACATTTTATGTCCCCCTGGTATATAAAGTATAGAACCATTATATCCCCCGGGGTATAAACTGTTTTTACTTTATTCAATCCGGATATATAATGTAGAACCAATATATATCCCGTTATATAATGTAGAACAAATATATACCCCGTTATATAAAGTATAGAACCATTATATCCCCCGGGGTATAAACTGTTTTTACTTTATTTAATCCGGATATATAATGTAGAACCAATATATATCCCGTTATTATGTAGAACCAATATATACCCCGGGGTGTAAAATGTAGAACCATTTTATACCCCCTGGCATATAACGTAAAAACATTTTTTTTTAAAGAAACATTACACGTGGATTTAATGGTTCTGTCAATATTCCCGAAAGCTATGACTTTCGATCCCAATTTCTCCTATTAAACATAGTTTTTCAGCCTTCTTTCTTAAATACTTTTTTGCCGGCATATATGTTTGAATAAAAAGTATTTAACAAACAAATCCGTAAGTTTAAAGATTGTTAAGATATCATTCAAAACACGTATGATTTCAAATAGAAGAAACCGAATGNCAGTAAAATATATTTAAAGAGGCGTCCAGTAAAATATATTTAAAGAGGCGTCCAGTAAAATATATTTAAAGAGGCGTCCAGTAAAATATATTTAAAGAGGCGTCCAGTAAAATATATTTAAAGAGGCGTCCAGTAAAATATATTTAAAGAGGCGTCCAGTAAAATATATTTAAAGAGGCGTCCAGTAAAATATATTTAAAGAGGCGTCCAGTAAAATATATTTAAAGAGGCGTCCAGTAAAATATATTTAAAGAGGCGTCCAGTAAAATATATTTAAAGAGGCGTCCAGTAAAATATATTTAAAGAGGCGTCCAGTAAAATATATTTAAAGAGGCGTCCAGTAAAATATATTTAAAGAGGCGTCCAGTAAAATATATTTAAAGAGGCGTCCAGTAAAATATATTTAAAGAGGCGTCCAGTAAAATATATTTAAAGAGGCGTCCAGTAAAATATATTTTTATTACAGGTTTAATTGATTTGACAGTTTTATTTATTGATTTATTTTGATAGTTTTAACATTTAAATTCATATTTCTTATAAAATTATTTATAATCCTACGGGTTGAAGCTCGTATAGTATTTTTGCCAAAAATATTTCTTTTTTGATGAGGTTTTTAACCCTCGCTATGCGGTTAAAAATCTCATCAAAAAGTCTCGAACCCTCTCGAAAAATAAATGTTTTGGGCTCAAATACTTTGTACCTCCCCTTCCTTCAACCATTATGGTTTTGAATAGTTATTAATGGTAAAAATTAAAAATAATTTTTTTTGAGTCCGTTGCACAATATGATGAAACTATGTGTCACTTAAAACAAGAAAATTACAGCCACAGTTTTGTTTACAAAAAGTATGCTCATATACTGCCATTTTTAGGCGGAATATAAACAAAAAAACCGCCAGAAACTGCAGTACACTGTTTTGTAAATAATGGTATAGGGTCCAAATGTACTTTCATTAGTTTGCTGTACTTTCTTCTAACATTTAAGAAACTGCACCCTTTTCACCAAATTCACAATCCAAATTTTTCAAAATCAAATTTATTCAAATCTTCAAATTTTTTTTAACTGTAAAGGTCTAATCTAGTTTTTCTGACAAAATTCAGGAAATGAATAATTCTATTTTTGCTACGCGTTTAATGGATAAAGCTATAAATCTTATATATAACCCCTTTAAAGGTTTCTAATTCTTAAATGGTTTGGTTTTGTAAATCAGTAAAATAGAATTAATTTCAATTTACAAAACTTTTTCTTGAAAAAAAAATATTTTAATTATAATTACCTATTAAAACATTCATAATTCACTAGTCATAGACACTTCAAAGCAAACGTATTACGAAAATATAAAACAGAGGATAATAAATATTTAAGCTTTTTTATAAAAAAAAAAATTTAAAACTCTGAAGAAAAAAAAATTTTATGATTTTTATTTTTGTCATACATATATATTGTTTTCAGTGTTAGGGGAAAAAATTAACAATTGGCATAAAAAAAAATTAATTTTTTTAAAGCTTACAGAAACAGTAAAAAATGTCTAGATTTTGTTTAACCTGTTTTCAAACCATTTTGGTTCTTTGCTAGCATGGCTTTATTATTAACGATGCATTAAAACCAAAAGAAAGACCAAAAAGGTATTCCTTAAAACCCGGATCTTGACATTAATTCCATAATAGACCCCAAGGACCCCTAGAGCTGCATGACTTGTTGGTTACAACATCTATAGTTCAGAAAATTTTCTTTTCCCCTCTTAAACAATTGATTTATTTACCTTTAAGGAAATAATTCTCGCTTTAATATACTACACTTTCACTATAGCAGTTCATTTCTTAGGAGGAAAATCCGGGATTTTTTCCCAAGAAAATCCGCAATTTTGCCATTATCTAATAGGGCGTTGGAAGGGTTTTGGGGGACACTGCCCAAACACTTTAACCCAAACTTTCACCAATACACACGGATCAGCTGTTTCAAGCCTTTGGCAGTCAAGCAAGGAGCACGCGAGGGTTGTTTCATGCTAGTAAGCGCGCGGACGCTTAACAACTGAAGATCCGATCCGCGCTTTACACTCTTCACTTGCGCCCTGCTAAAATCAACAGGGATAAATCAGGTATATTTTTTTCAAATTCAATTTTTTTCTTTTTAAGTTTGGTTAAAAAATTTAGATTTTTTCAAGTTTATTCCGAAAAAAATCCCTGTAATGATGGTCCTCCTAGGACGTAAATTTTGAAATTTTATTTATTGAATTTTTGTAACTCTAAAGTCAGAGAAAGAGTGAAAATATTATTAAATTTTTTTTGTAAATCATTTTCACATTTGTGAAGTTTTTGTTTATTACAGCTTGATGAGGGGGGGAGGAGGGAGAGGGGAGGGATTGTTGATATTTAATGTTAAAGGAGTGGCAAAGGGTTAACTTAGGGCTCTTTTAATGAACATGTCTTATAAGGGAACAGGAGGGAGGGGGGGGGAGAGAGGTAAGCCCCAGGTCCTCCTCCCCACCCCACCCCCTTCTTACAAGCTGTTAACGAAGAGGGGAGGGGAGGGGGGCGG